AGTGAGCTGGCAACATCGTCTCCAGTAGTTCATTTCCATGGCCTTAATTTTTGATTTGTTTCTTTGGTTTATTTCCCAGAGTTCGGCGCCATACAGTCCAATACTTTCTATTATTGTTTTATAAATTCTTCTTTTATTTTCTTTTGTTATTTTTTATTCCATAATAGTCCGTGTAGCTGTCTGGTGGCTGATCTTGCTTGGCCAATCCTGGAATGTATTTCTTCGCTACTTAGTAAGCTATAGTAAAATACTTTTATGTACTTAATCAAAGTTTTTATCACAGAAAATGCAGAGAAACAATAGGATGCTGGCTACAGATTGTGGCCCTTTACCAAAGCCTGATGTAGTGCTGGAGTTTGTGAAAAGTGCTGTTCCTGACATATGTAAGCATTGACTGTCCTTGGAGAAGCATAAAAGTATTTGGGTGACGTAAATGTACTATATATTCATAGTATAATTGTAGGACAAAAAGAAGGCCCACCAGCTAGGAGGACATGCAAGTTTAATTACTATAACATCAGAAGTATCTGACTCCCCCAGTGCTTTTCCAGTTCAAAATAAGAAAATAAAAAGTTGTTATGTATGATAATTTTGAAAAATCTTACCTGTACATTTAATAATAATTTCAAGTAATACCTACCTGTAATATGGCACCTGTTGTTCCTATAGAATATGTCAATGTGCTTCAAATGGTAAGTAATCTTAAGTTAACTTATAGCAATATATAATAATAATACCAAACACTCCTACTACTAATAGGGTAGTGGCTATTATAATTGCAAATAAAAAACATTCTCCAAAAAAAGGTTTGAATTATTTCAAAGGTTAGTGGTAATCTATAGTTATGGATGTTTAAAACAATCATTTATAGTATAACTATTCTGATTTGTACTTAATGTATTTATGGTATATTATTGAAAACTGTTGCGAATTCTAAATGTAAATGCTAGTTCTGGATTTTTTTTTTTTGATTTTGTTTTTAATGTATACTACTTATGGTGGTTGCAAAGTGATTATTATATTATTTTATATTTAACAAGTCTGATATTATTCCATTTTTTAGTTTTATAATAATTTTTATAAATTGTTACTTTCAAATTTACTTATAGTGAAGGTTTATAAATATATTTTTAAATAAAGAATATTAATATTTTAAATGTGTAGTTAATTTTATATTTGAAAAGGAAAGGTTTTATTAAAGGGATAAACACTTATTTAAAAGGAGGGAAACACCTTGAACTAAAGTAAAGTAAAGATATACTTCCTTAAGTTGTCTGAGTATAGTATAACCCTAATTTATTTTAAATTAGAGTATAAAAAAATATATTTCGACAAATAAAATAAAAAAGAATATATTATTTAACATAATATAAGTCTTTAATATTATATTCACATTCTCATGCATAACATTGTTGAATAAAATGTCTCCTAAAATTTAAACCTCGTTCCACATCATTAACATTTCTATTTGCTGGCACATTAGTATTTTCTAGAAAATCAACATCACTATCATTATTTTCCTGTAAACATATACTGCAAAGTACTACTGTAGCACTTATTATGCAAGATATTTATTTAATTTGGTTTGTAGGCCTCATTGCGGACAGGGAAACCATATTTTCCAGGTTCCAAATATACTTTTGGCAACATTTCTTACATGTGCACTATTATATCTCTTTTGTTAATAATTTCCTAAAGAGATGTATCTATCAAATAACTGGAGTAAGTAGATAGTGCCTGCCCTGCATACATAATTCACTATTCATAATAATTCTAGAAATTTGTCCTCTTTCCATTCTAACTTTTATTTATCAACTTTGATCAAATAAAAAGCTACCAATACTTGATCCTGGATGTTGAACAACAATATTAATCTCAAAAATCAAAACAAAAATATTGTATTGAAAATATTCATAAACATAAACAAACAAAGTTAGGTTAGGATCCCGTGCTCAAGGCAGGCCGATCTGATGCTTGAGCACGATCTGTCATTTTTGCGTACTCAACTCCTGTTCCTGCTCGAGATCCTTTTATAAAGCACAAAAACGACTCAAGGTTGATGTCAAGCATCGATCGATACTTGAGTACCGACTATAAATATGGGCCTTAGAAGTGGATTGTATAAAGATGAACACATTCAACTCCGCAACTCATTAGTGACAAAGTCCAGATGACCGCATGTTTTTTTTTAATAGTGTCGTAATGTTTATTTTAGCTGGTGGGTACTAGACTAAGTTCAAACTTTGGTATACTTTTACAAAAACCACAAGACCGCCTTAGGAGCGGTAAAAGGAACACGACAAGCTAATTGCTAATTGAGTGCCGATGACCGCCCGTGCGGCGTTCTGTCAAAAATACACGGTTTTTATATAAAACTTCAAATAAATAATCTAAACAAAAAATATTTTATTAGAGCACTCAAAATGTATACTAAAACATAAAAAGGACATTAAATTAAAACACAACCAAAAAAATTAAATCTTAAAATAAATTTACAAAAGAAACTAAAACCGAAAAAAATTAACCAAAACTATATTTTAGAATGGAATTCACGAAAACATGAAGATAGTCACAGTCACGTCACAGTCCAGGTTGATTAGGACATAATGGAAATTAAATAATTGTGTCACCTCTTATTTTTTCTTGCCAGCAAACCTGACACCGCATCCTTTTTACTTCTTTTATTTTCTCCTCACTTCACTTTTGGGACAAAGTTATGGAAGATGTGTTATCTTCATTTTTCGTAATGGTTCTGTTTCTGGTGGTGTAAAACCAATTAACTTCTCAATAATACATAATCGGTAATCATAAAAGATCGTTTTATTGTCAGGATTCCCTTTCTTGTAAAGATAATGCACGATACTATGCTATGCCGATGATGCAGTACTAATTGCTGATAACGAAGATGACCTACAAAGGCAGCTCCACACCTTCAATATCACAGCAAACAAACTTAATATGAGAATATCAGTAGAAAAAACTAAATGTATAGTGATCAGTAAAGAGCCGCGTAGATGCAAACTAGAAATAGACGGCAAAATTGTAGAACAAGTAATGAAATTCAATTACCTAAGAGTAGAGATCACTAGTGACAGGGATATAAGAACAGAGACCACAAGGCAAGCATCAAAAGCGGCAAGAGTAAGTGGTTGCGTCCGAGAAACCATATGGAGAAACAAATATCTGACCACGGAAAGCAAAATGAAAGTATACAAGACAACAGTAAGACCAATCCTAACATATGCAGCGGAGAAAAGGACCGATACAAGAAAGACGAAACAACAAATCAACAATATCGAAATAAAAGTATTAAGATCAATAGCGGGCATATCATTAACAGATAGACAAATCAACAGAAGCATACGCGAATAATGCAAAATTCAAAATATTAACATGTGGGTAAAAGCAAGAAAAAAAAACTGGAACGAACACGTAAACCAAATGGGACCAGATAGATTAGTGAACATCTGTAAAAACAACAAACCGTATAGCAGATACCCGTTGGAAGGCTGCCAAAAAGGAGGAAAGATAATGTACAGTCGACAACGACTAAAACGGAAACAGGAGTAATCCTAGTCGCACGAAGAAGAAGAAGAAGAAGAAGAAGTAGAAGAAGAAGAAGAAGAAGAAGTAAAGATAATGTGATGTGATCATTATTATTTGAAATATATGAACAGCCAGCTTTTTATACCCAATGAGCGTCTGGTGCTCACTGGAATAATATGACATAATCTGGTCACAATGGTCAATTGCTGCCATACACTCATTAAATTTATCTATTAATACAGACTTTTCTTTTTCTTGACCACGCCTATTCATCACGGTTGTCATACGTTCCTTAAATGCACTCTAAATAGCCATCATTTCACAACTATCTCTCCATTTATGTATGAAAATTCCTTATGAATTGTATTGAACCACCAATTAAACTTTTTTAGTTTTGTCTTTATGACTGCTTGAGGATTTCCTTTCCTGTTTAAACGTAATCATCATCATCAACTAGCCTCTAACGTCCACTGCTGAACATAGGCCTCTCGCATGCTTTTCCACTTAGTTCGATTTTGCGAACTTAAGATTCTTGTCAAATAAACTTTTCTCAGTAACACTCCTCAGCAAGCTTTATACTATTGTAAAAATTATCCATAAACAGAGAGAAGAAGAAGAAGTAAGAGATTTAAAACAAATTTTTCTGTATGGCTTTCCTTAGGTAATACAGGATCTGCTGAGCCAGCATAAACTACTATTTTGAGGACGGCACCACTCGCTTCACATATCATAGAAGGTTTAATTCCGAATTTGTGCCTCTTTCCTTTAATATATTGCCGAAATTTTAAACGGCCTCTCCACAAAACCATGTACTCCAACAGAGTTCCCTGTTGGGATAATATATTTGTATTATTCTATTTTTATAATAATTTATTAATGGCATGATTTTTCGCAATTGAGTTCGTGGCTCTAGTATTGTGTCTTCAAGCTGCAAGCTTCTCAAAATCAATAAGAACCAATTGCGGCTCATAAAGGACGAAAAGCACTGTCTGTTGAACAGGTAATTTTTTTTAAGTAGTCGTTTATTCGGTTTAATTTGATAGTCCCCATATGAAAGAGCATACCTAGAAATCTTTTCATTTCCGTTACATTGACATCATACCATGACGTTAGTGTTGGTTTACTTCCACCCTTAAATTGATGGCATATTTGTTAGCCTTCTCACACACCATGTTAAAAAATCATCTGTCTAGAAGTTGGAAGTAATAAAAAGGGTTTGTGGAATTTATGTTAACCAAAAAACCAACTGTCTTAGTAAACGGCAAACCTTGATTTTGTGCAATATTGTCCATGTCTGAGGAAACTGTAGGGATAGATGAAAAACCACAGGAAACTGTAGGAGCAGATAAACAACCGGGTAATTTGTGAAGGTTGTAAAATATATATAAAATATATGTAAATATGATATGTAATTTTATAAAATATATAAATTAAGTCGTCTTCGGAATAACTACCGCTTTCGCTCAAATAATCTGGATCATCGCTACTATTTTCGAAGGGGTTTATCTCGTTTTCCGATTCTTCCAAAGCAGCTAATAATTCAGCTTCTATTAGTTTACGGTGTTTTTTAAAATCATATTTTACTATTTTTGAAGGTTCTGGTTTATTTTTCATAATTTCTGTAAGCAAAAAAATATTGCTTGCAATATGTGTGCTGATCAACGCCTGTCGGGTGGTCAACGTCATTTTTTATATTTGTTTTGTACACTATGAAATAATTTTTTTTAGTAATATCATATGTCTTTTATTTATACATATATGAGTGTTTCAAATAATTAATTAGTATAATAATTAATTACTAAATAATCATAAATACACCTAGACTTACCAATCGAACAAAAAGCAGCTTAAATAAATACAAACTATAAACAAGCAAAAAACCAAACCCAACACGTGGCAGACGGACTACTATCAAATAGGTCCTCCTTAAATCACCAAAAAACCAACTGTCTTAGTAAACGGCAAACCTTGATTTTGTGCAATATTGTCCATGTCTGAGGAAACTGTAGGGATAGATGAAAAACCACAGGAAACTGTAGGAGCAGATAAACAACCGGGAATTTGTGAAGGTTGTAAAATTAAGTCGTCTTCGGACTAACTACCGCTTTCGCTCAAATAATCTGGATCATCGTTACTATTTTCGAAGGGGTTTATCTCGTTTTCCGATTCTTCCAAAGCAGCTAATAATTCAGCTTCTATTAGTTTACGGTGTTTTTTAAAATCATATTTTACTATTTTTGAAGGTTCTAGTTTATTTTTCATAATTTCTGTAAGCAAAAAAATATTGCTTGCAATATGTGTGCTGATCAACGCCTGTCGGGTGGTCAACGTCATTTTTTATATTTGTTTTGTACATTATGAAATAATTTTTTTTAGTAATATCATATGTCTTTTATTTATACATATATGAGTGTTTCAAATAATTAATTAGTATAATAATTAATTACTAAATAATCAAAAATACACCCAGACTTACCAATCGAACAAAAAGCAACTTAAATAAATACAAACTATAAACACGAAAAAAACCAAACCCAACATGTGATAGACGGACTACTATCAAATAGGTCCTCCTTAAATCACTGACCGATCCAAATTCCAAAATAGCCCCACAAATTAAAAGACGATTATGCATACACAAACGCCTCTCGGGCGATCGCGGCGTTTTTGTGGAAGTCGGATGAACGCTGGAGAGGCGGTGGCGGACTTGAATGTGTTAAAAATGAATCTGGAGTACAGAAATAGAAGATTTTGTGGAGAATAAAAAGAGCATGTATAAAAAAGAGTAACAACAAAGGACCTTTACGATCGGCAACCGTACAATAAACTAAACAAAAAAAAAACAGGTATATAAAGTCAAAAATTAGATGTGGAATAAAGGCTGCGATAACGTAGAAAATTCTATGGGTACCGTAAGAAGTAGATAAGCCTGGAAAACAATTAGAGGCAGTAGTACACTAAAGAATGCAGTAGGTTAACTCTAATATCCCCGGAATTATGGATCGAATATTATTAACAAATGTTGACGACAGAAGATCAAGAAGAATTCCAAGATATTGGCTATGAAAAATATGATATTTCCTACCGCGAAGAAACCAAAACCACCAAACATTTTGCGAAGTATCTATCTGTTCCATGCTTCCAATCTGTTTTGTATGATTTTGTTCATAGTCCATGTCTCGGCAGAGCATAGCATTGTGGGTCTAATTATAGTTTTGTATGCTCTTTACGAGATATATCTTTGGTCTTAATTATTTTGTTCATGGCCCCAGTATATCTGTTGCTCTTGGTCAGTCTCAGATTGATTTCAGTTTCTTCCTTACATGCTTGATCAATAAGAGTACCTAAGTACATATATTCATCCACCTTTTCGAATTCTCTAACTGATCCATCTTGCACCTCTAATTTAAAGAAGCCCCTTGTGTTTATTCCTTTTTTTACTCGAGATTTCCATGTACTTAAATGTATTAATATTAACTTTTAGTCACATTTTAGAGCTTTTCTACAACTTGTTTTGCTATTCTTGTCAGTTATTTTCCATTTCTTGCAAAGAGAACCATATCATCAATGAATGCTAAGCATTGGTGCTCTTTGTATAAAAGATTTCCAGATCTACTATATTAAATAGGTAAAAAGGTAAACAACGGGTCTCAGCGAATACTTTTGTCACGTCAAATTATTCTGAGACTGCACCGTTACATTTCACAAGACAAACGGTTTTTCTAATTGTTATTTTTACCAATCTTACTATTTTTTCTGGCACTTGGAATTCTTTTACCACTTCTATTAATTTTTTTTCTTTTATTGTATCGTAGGCGGCTTTGTAGTCAATGACAATTACTTGTACTAAAATGTTGTATTCATAGCAATTGATCAGGATTTGTTTTAGCTTTAAAAATTGACCTGTTGTTGATCTTTTCTTGCGAAATTCTCCCTGGTATTCTTCTAGCTTCTTCTCCACATATATTTCTAATCGTTTTTCAATTAGTATGTCGAGCACTTTATATATTACCTCTAACAAAGATATTCCTTTATAGTTTGCGAATTGTTTCAAAACTACCTCAAATTGTCGCAGTGTTTCAAAATTAAATTTAGGTTACAGTTTCTTTTTATGTTTATGATTTTTAATTATTGCATCTTTCAGATTATTTCTAACTAAAAAATAATTCTGTTGTACTTTAGATGAGGTTTACTTGATTGGTTTCATTTGATTCAGGAATTTTCTATGTTCCTTTATTTATTGTATTATTCTTTATTCGTCGGTATAGTCGGTCATCTTTTTCTTTTTCCACTGCTATATGCCTTTTTTGGGTCCATATTTCTAGAGTTTTTTCGTTTTAAAGTACCATTTACAGCTCATTCCCATTTTATACCATGCACAGTTAGTTTTTTGTACCCCATCTTTACGTTTTTACCTTTAGCTCTTAATGCCTTGTCTTCTTTTACAATTTAATGCCTCATATGTCTTTCCTTTTTGGCCAGGTCATCGTTGATGAAGATATTTTCTCCAGTAAGAAATCTGAGTTCATTTTTTCTTTCATTACCTTGGTTTTTTGGACATATTCCTTCGTTTCTACCAGACATATATTGTTTGTATAAAATAATTTACGTTATTTTTTAATAGTGTTTCATCTGTTACGACTATTGATATTCTTCATGTGCCGTGCTCGATTATCGAGCGTTTCTAAGCCATGACGTTCTTCTTCGACCTGGCCCTCTTCTTCCGTCTACGTTGCCTTGTATTATTTACATTTTATCTCTCTGGGTGGCGCATAAGATGGCCAAAATATTCAATTTTGGCCTTTTTTTGGCCCATTTAAAGTCCAACTTTCGACACCATACAAAAGAGTACAGAACACATAACATCTCACTAATCTAATTTTCAGACTTAAAGTAATATTGTTTCCACATAAGTTTCTTCATCTTAAAGAATGCAGCTCTGGCCTTCTCTATCCGTTTTCTACTATTTTTCAATTCTGAGTTAATTTGTTTTTTGTTTCTTTCAATTTTTGCTTTATCTTTATATTTTCTTTTTTCATCGCTGTCACCTCTTCTCTAAATTCCTTATTTTCATTACTGATTTATTTATTTCTCCCATCATCTACTTGAACGTACTCATAACGTCATCCACATCCATTGGATATTTTTCCCTTTTTTCTTTTGCTTATGAGTCTGGCAGTTTTTTGTTCTGCAAGAAAGGTGAAGTTGACCCTGTATATTTTCTCTTCCTGCATTTTGACACGTAGTCATTACTGTCTATGTTGTGGAGACTAATGACTATAGTTTCTATCTGGAACTATTCTTATAAAAAATAGGTTATCAAGGACTTATTAAGAAAATTTACATATAAAACAAATATAATCTCCTGTATTTGAAATAAAGGAAAATATTGACAGAATCAGGGCTTCTAGAAGAAGAAAATGTTCATGGTTAAGAATGCTAAGAGATTGGAAGGCACGGGCACATATTAACTAAGAATCGCTAAAGATAAAGATCAATTTGAAGATCAAAACAAGGTTTACTTAGTAGATTTAGTTTCCGAAAAAAAAAAACAAAACAATTAAAAATTGTTAATTTAACAAACATCGGTAATGCTATTGACACTATTTATATTCTTTATTTATCAATTATATAAATTAAAATGTTCTCGAATACTTTACATATTAAAACATATTTCTAACCAGTGTTAGTTTAAAGGCTCTTCAACTTCGATTACACTCATCGGTATTCAAAGTTAAACTTCCATGTGAAAAATTTTATACCAATATTGAGCAGATTTGCTGAATAGCCAAGAAACTTTAGAGTAGAAAATGAAAACTCTAAACTTTTATATATTTCCAGCACGTTAATAATTCAGAAAAATTTTCCATTCGTTGAACTCAAACAGTAAGCCACCGAGATCTAGTTTGAATAAGCAGAAAAAGTTTATTTAATGTATTTAAATTAAAATGATTAAACGTAAACTTAAATATATATATTTCCAACTGAATATCAGGACAGGAACAGAACTCATTAAAATGCATCTACTATCCGTATTTTTGCTACTATTAAAGTACTTATAAATTCTTAAAATACTTATATTTGCTTTTTATTCCTTCGTTTTTATTTTTTTTTTATTTATTTGTTTCACATTCTATCTTATTATAGAGATATAAAGACCTACTTTAGTGTAATATTCTTGTATTTTTTAATCATAATCATGTAACTCACATTTTCATGATCCTGACAGTCATTGCTTGATCGTCCGTTCTGGTACCTCCATTTTTCGCATTTTCTTCCAAATTTTGTCAACGGGTAAAGCTTAAAATATTTTTTGAATGCTAGCTTACCTGGATTAACATTTCATCTTCCAGCCTCAAAAGTTCACTGTTAAACACATGCCTCTTCCTCGTGTTTTCAACCCCGCCTATCTTGCGCCACTCTCATCCAGTTTTTATTTTGCCTTCTTAAATCATCAGCCTACATGTAGGTGATTGACCGACGCTTCTCTTGTCTCCCGTTGGTCTACATTTCAGTAACCTATATGTTCCTCGCTCATCTTTCATTCTAGCTATACGTCCTGTTCATGTATGTTTTAGTCTGGATATTCTTTCGATGACGTTAGTCACCTTGGTTCTCCTACTGACATCTTCGTTTTTTATTAGTTATTGTTAACATGGATCGCTCCATTCTTCTCTGTGTAACTCATAATTTGGTAGCCGAGGCTTTTGTTAAAGTAAGTGTTTCTGCTCCGTAAACAAGTGATTGAGTATCTGGTAGTTATCCCAGATAGGAAATTAATGTGGAATTCTCACCTTACAGATCTATCTATCTATCTAATTAGCCTTCTTCGGTCCATCTTTGGACATCATCATCATCCAGCCTCAAGAGTCCACTGCTGAACATAGGCCTCTTCCTCATGTTTCAACCCCGTCTATCTTGGGCCGCTCTTATCCAATTTTTATTGATTCTTCTTAAATCGTCAGTCTATCTTGTAGGTGGTCGACCGACGCTTCTCTTGTCTTCCCTTGGCCTCCATTCCAATAACCTTTTTGTCCATCGCCTATCTGTCATTCTGGCTATGTGTCCTGCCCATCTCCATTTTAGTCTGGCTATCTTCTCGATGATGTCAGTCACTCCGGTTCTTCTCCTGATGTCTTCGTTGGTTATTCTGTCTCGCAGAGTTATTCCTAACATGGACCGCTCCATTCTTCTCTGCGTCACTCTCAGTTTGGTAGCTGCTGCTTTTGTTCAGGTAAGTGTTTCTGCTCCGTACGTCAAGACTGGGAGGACGCACTGATCAAATACCTTTCTCTTTAGGCATGTGGGCAGCTCGCTTTTAAAAGTTTCTCTCAGTTTTCCAAATGCTGCTCACCCAAGGCCGACTCTTCTCTTCAGTTCATGAGTCTGGTTATCTCTGCCAATCATAATTTCATGTCCCAGGTATTTATATCTATCTACGAGTTCTATTTCTTTCCCACCAATACTGATGTTCTGGTTGGGTACCGAATTGGTCATGATTTTTGTTTTCGAGATATTTATATCTACATTTTCTGTAGCCACAACGAGTTCCTGTACCATCTCTCTTGCCATACCTAGATCTTCAGCTATTATAAGTATATCATCGGCGAAACGTAAGTTGTTTAGATATTCTCCATCTATTTTTATTCCCTTTGTCATCCAATCCAAATTCTTAAAAGCATGTTCTAGCACCGTATTAAAAAGTTTAGGTGACATTGGGTCTCCTTGTCTAACCCCCCGTTCTATTTTTATGCGATTACTGTTAGTATGTAATTTGACATTGGTTGTTGCCTGCAGGTAGATTTTGTATGATAATTTAGAATATCTATAATCTAGCCTGCATTCTTTAAGCGTCTGTAATATTTTGCTTAGCTCAACAGTGTCAAAGGCTTTGTGAAAATCGATAAATATTAGAACTAGAGGTTTATTGTATTCCACTGCTTTCTCTATTAGGGTTTTTATACTTTGTAGATGGTCATTTGTTCCGTAACTTTTTCGGAATCCTGCCTGTTCCCTTGGTTGATAAGTCTCTAATTTTCTTTCCATTCTCTTAACTAGTATTCGCGTAAACAACTTATATATATATATATATATATATATATATATATATATATATATATATATATATATATATATATATATATGGCTGAGGATGCTAATCGGTCTGTAATGCTCTAAATTTGCTTTGTCTCCTGCTTTGTGTAATAGAATCATAGTAGCGTTGTTCCAGTCTGTTGGAATATTGGCGCTGTGAAGGCAGATATTGAAAAGTTGTTTAATTTTTTCAAGTAATACATCCCCTCCAATTATCGCTTCTGATACTATTCCATCTTCATTATTTTTCGATTATTTTTCGTTTTCTTAGGGTCTTCTTTGATTTCTGATTTTGTTATATTGGGCATTAAATCTGATCCTTGGTTTAATACCCCAGTTTTTAGTGTAATTGGAGGTTCCGACGGAACCTCCATCTTTGGACATAGGCCTCCCCAATCCTTTTCCATTCTTCTCTGTCTGTCGCTACAGTCATCCATCTAGAGCCCACGTGCTTCTTGATATCATCTGCCCATCTCATTTGGGGCCTTCCTCTGCTTCGTTTATATTCCCACGGTCTCCAACTTATAAGAATTTTGTTCCATCGGTCTTCTTTTTGTCTTATATTGTGTCCGGCAAATCTCCATTTCAATTTTGCAACTTCTTGTCTAACATCCCTCACTTTTGTTTTCTCTCTTATCCACTCGTTTCTCTTCTTATCCATTAGTCTTATGTGCAACATTTGTCTTTCCATTGCTCTTTGGGTTTTTATGATTTTGTCCATGTTTGCTTTTGTAGATGTCCACGTTTGGGAACCATAAGTAAGAACAGGGAGTACGCATTGATTATATACTTTGGTCTTAAGATGCTGTGGATATCTTTTGTTTTTAAGAATGTAGCTTAGTTTGCCAAATGCCGCCCATGCCAGTCTAACTCGTCTCTTGATCTCTGCTGTTTGGTTCTCTTTGTTAAGTTTTATAGTTTGACCAAGGTATATATATATATATATATATATATATATATATATATATATATATATATATATATATATATATATATATATATGATCCTTAACTTGTTCTATTTCATCTTGTCCGATTCTCATTGTGATGTCTTCATCTGTATTTGTTATAGTTTTGGTCTTGCTGTAATTCATATTAAGGCCTATCTTTCTAGCTTCTACATCCAGTTCTTTCATCATTTCAAATAATTCTTCTTTTTTATCGGTTATCAATACGATGTCATCAGCGTACCTTAGATGGTTCAAGCGTTGTCCACAAATTTTTATACCTTTTTTTTCCCATTCTAATTCTAATCCTTACAGATATTACCAATAAAATAAAAAGATCTCTTTGAACATGACAATCGTTTTGTGACAAACCATGTGGTCTGAAACCTAAAATTATTTATTGGTTATATATTGGTTTGGTGGAACAAAAAAACAAAAAAAGCAGTAATAGACTGGGTTGCAAAAGGCAGTAATAGACTTACAACAAGTGCAAAGACTTGCTTTTGTAGATATCAAGGGTGTAACACTATCGTGTAATACCTATTATAATATATTGAGTTCTAGGTGGCGATGTACGAAATTGGAAAACCAAGGCAAAGAATAGGAGGGAATGGAAGCTGATCTTGAGACATGCCAAAACCCACTATGCGTTGTGGAGCCAATCATGATAATGTTGAGTTGACTTGACATGCTGAAGTATCTCTAACAAAATTCCTGACGTATCTGGCACAAATATTAAATATGTAAATAGAAATGTAGATAATATAAAAATGTAAAAGTAGTTCAAGAAAAATCTCTCTCTCTCTCTCTCTCTCTCTCTCTCTCGCTCTAGTTTCATCCCCCCTTGTGGAGTATTAGACGCTCATGCGGTTCTTGGCCAGAAGTAACAGATTGCTGACTGGCCGGGTCAGCGCATCTTCTTTCTTGTTAATTCTCAAGGATAAATTATGTACTATTTTAACAATAAAAGAAAATAAGATAATTATAATAACGTTAAGGTAAACAGATCCCAGAAAAAATAGTATAGACATTCGATTACCTGGGAATATCACATCGAACGATGAAAAATTTTGTGCTCAAATATTAAAATTGCCAAGAAAATATTTATAATTTATTACTTTTTAAATATATAAGTTTTAGAAAAAAGGAAACGGTTGTAAACCAGTTCATTATCTGGTATTTTATTAACCAAGATGCGTGTTTTCTATCAATTACCTTTTGTTCTTCGATTTTTCCATCATAATGAGTTGAAGAATATTACAGTGACTTTCCCGTAGTATGTGTGAGAAGAAAAAAAATATAGAAATATATAAAGTATGTATAAGAGAGAAAGGAGTTTCGAGATCAACAACGTTTTGGACCATCGTCAAGATAACAACTTCCAAAGTGAAAATATTAAGTTCACTGGAAGTTTAATGTTCACGAAAATTTAAATTAAAAGTAAAGCTGTTTTATTTACCTGATAATTGCCTGCGTGTTCCGGAAGTTTTGACTTCTATACCAGTAGGGTGACATTTTGACTGGTTAATATTTTCAGCCCAGTTCCTGAAACAAAAAAAAAAACGAATATTAAGTATTTAGTTAATTAGATATGATTTTGGAAACAGCCTATACTGAATTAAAAGTGTAACTTGTCGTAATGTATTACTGGGTTGCATATTTAATAATAAAAAACTATTAAATAATTGATGGATTCGACCGTTACTTGAAGGAAATTTATTTTATGTAACAATAAAATACTGAAAACTTTGTTTTTAAAACTTCCACAAATTTATTATAAAATCTTATCTCTACAGCGGTTTCGGTAGAGTGACTTTCTCAAGTGATCTATTTTTGGCATGCGTTTACATTCTATAGTCTTTAATGAAATAGGTTAAGAAGGGGAGAACTGTTTATCTCAAGTTGGTAATTCAGAATTATATCTGTGTTTTTTAATTTGCTAATTTCCATAGATTCTAAAAAAAATAGCTTAAGGCCTTTATTTTGGATGTGAAAAATTTGAAATTCGCCATTAAAAGAATGATTATGATGTAGAAGGTGAAGTGCAAATATAGAATCTGTTTTTGTATTATTGAAAGCCCTTTTATACTCTGCTATTCGTTTATTAAAATTTCTACCAGTTTGGCCGATGTAAGTTTTTCTGCAGTCGACACATTTAATTTTGTATACACCACTGTGTAAGTGCTTTTTATTTTGGCTCTTGTTGTTTTTAGTATATTTGCCCAAGTTGTTGTTTGTTCTGAAAGCTGGTGTTATTCCTTTCTTTTTTATGTGTTTGGCTATTTTTGTTGATATTTTGTCTGTATATGTAATCGAGCAGAAGGTACTGGGTTTTTCTATGGTGGTGGAAATACTAATTTCAGTGTTTTTTGAGTAGTTTTTGATTTAAAATTTTATTGTTTGTTCGTTGAATACATTGTTTACTGCTATTTGCTTAATGATTTTAATTCTGTTCCAAAGTTGTATTTTGATATCGGAATTTCTGTTAATCTACGTAACGTACAATGTACTACGATAGGCTTCCAGTTTAAATTGTATGGGATGGGATGATGAATTGTGTATAGTCGTGTCAGTATGGGTAGTTTTATGATATATGGAGAAGTCATGTTTGTTTTTAAGTCTAATAATTTTTAATTATAAAAAATTTATGAATTGATTTTGTTCTGTCTTTATTGTAAATTCAATATGACTGTTACGATTTTAAATGTTATGGCATATAGAACTGTAAATATTTTATGACTAATTCTTTTTTATTGATTCTCGTAATTTGTAGGTCAAAATCTACCTGAGACACGTTGGGTTCCCCTTCGCTATAACACCGACGAATACAAGTTTTCTGGAACCGCTTCGATACCAGTTGTTAGATCATTGCCGCTCTGTCTACGAGAGCCTCGTAAATACGAGATGATTCTAAGGAGTTCCACTATAATGTAGAAGGTCGCCGAACTTTCCAGATAGCGGAAGTTTTTGTATATAAACGACACATTTTTATTTGTTAACCAGTCATAAGAAGATCGGGAAACGCGATTTACTTGTAACGAAACGTAACAAATAAATTTGTACAGCTATTTAATAAATTAGTAATTAGTTATCGTGAGTTTTAATAAATTAGAATATAGACAATAAATTAGAATAAAGACAAATAAATTAGAACTATATAAATATACAACAGTGGTGTCAGAAAAAGTGGAATTGTAGATAAATTTAATTTGAATTTTTGAAAAGAAGTGAAATTGGTGAACAATGGCTACGATTTACGAGCTCACAGTTACGAATCTAAGAAGGCATCTTGAAGACAGAGAATTAGCTTCTACCGGAAAAAAACTGAGTTAGTCCAACGACTAAAGAAGGCTTTGGAGGAAGAAGATTTGAATCCGGAAACTTATATATTTGAAGATGCTGTCATCTCGTCGATTTCGAAAGTTTCTTTCGATGTAGCCAAAATTTCCTGTGATATCGCATCATTAGAGAACAAAGTCACTTCTGAGATGTCTGCCCTCGATGATAGAGTGTCTTCGTTAAAGAACCAAGTTGCTGCCGATATGTTGGCCTTCGAAGAGAGGATAAAAGAGATGGAAAGGAAGATGGAGGAAACAGGGACAGCAGAGAGAGAAAACAATCCAATTATAGCAGAGACAAAAGAAGAGGAGACAAAATGTAAGTTGGAAACACGGCCGAAATTTGAAGGAAGCGGGGTTATGTTCATGTCAAAGTTCCAACTTTCGACGGAAAATCGTCATGGAACAACTACATGAAACAGTTCGAATCAGCTGCAAGAGCGACTGGATGGTCAGAAAAAGAAAAGGCTGTAAACCTGAATATAGCTCTTCGAGCATATACGCATGGATGCCTTAGATGTGCTCCAGACCATAGCCGTAGAGGAGACGGATGATTTCGAACAACTGAAGAAGAGGTTAAATATGCGATATGGCCACGAACACTTGGAGCATGTATATCAGTCGCAGCTCAAAAATAGAGGACAAAAGAAAGATGAGGCTCTTCAAGAATATGAAGTAGATATCGCCAGATTAGTGCGGTATGCTTATCCAACAGCTCCCGAAGACATGATGGAAAAGTTGGCCGTTCAAACGTTTATTGATGGTCTTCGTGATCATGAGATGCAAAGAACAGTACAAATAGCTCGTCACAAGACGCTGGTTGATGTCTTATCCGCCGCCCTCGAATACGAGTCAGCTACGCAGGCTTCTGGCGGTTACAGTAAAGTTAGGACTGTAAAAGAGGAAGAAGATGAAGATAAACTTGACCAGCTCGTTAATATGATGAAAAGCATGACAGACAAGAAAACAAAGACCATAAGATGCTGGAATTGTGGCGAAATAGGACACGTACGAAGTTCATGTAAGCATCCTAGGTACGACACAAATCAAGAAACTCACCATCAGGAAAACTAGAACGGGTCGGCCTTAGGGGGGCAGCTTCGACCCAGAACTTTTCCAAAGGCCCTCTCATACTAATAGCTTCTTTGAAATGTCGTGAAGATAGTGTGTATGGAGATGGAGAAATAAATGGTAAAAAGCATACGTTGTTGGTGGATACTGGAGCGACAAGAACCATTATTCGCCCGACAGTTATAAACAGCCGTAAGAAACTGTTACCAACGAGGTTGCGACTTCGGACCGCTACAGGTGAAAATGCCAACATTCACGGAGAAATCCAGATACAATTAGGAATTGGAGTAGAAAAGTTCGTCCATACTGTTATAGTTGCTGACATCGAAGAGGATGTTATATTAGGAATGGACGTAATGAATACGCATGGATTCCAATTGGATTTTAGGAATAAGGTAATCAAAGTTGGTAACGAGGAGGTATTTCTCCATCCACATGATGACAACACTATGCAAGCAGCCGTTAAAGAAGATACAGACGTGCCTGCGAGAAGTGAAACGATCATAGCAGCGCTGCTACAGGGAATTGTGGACGAAGGGACACCTGTTATGATGGAGCCTTGGAACCATGACGACGAAGTTTGCCGTGGAATCATAATTGGAAAGGAATTGGTGACTTCGGCTAAAGAAATTCCTGTGAGACTTATTAATGTCAATGACTACCCAGTGACCATCAAGAAAGAGACAAAAGTAGGAAATTGTGTACCTGTTACATCCATAATCCGTCAGACGACAACGTCTGATAATTCCAACGACAAATTTGATCAAATGGTTGCAGTTGCTGGACAGCCTCTGAATCAGATTGAGAAAAGGAAATTAAGGGAATTTCTTCGGCAGTATCGTGATATTTTCGTACCGAAAGGAGGAAAGACGGGAAGAACTACCTTTGTTATGCATAGAATTGATACTGGTAATGCTAAGCCAATTCTTCAAACAGCTCGACGATTACCACAGGCGAAAAGAGAGGAAGCTGAAACGATTGTTCAGGAAATGAAGAAAGACGGGGTGATAGAACCTTCTACGAGCCTATGGGTCTCTCCGGTAGTCCTGGTTAAGAAGAAAGATGGAACAACGAGGTTCTGTGTGGATTACCGTTTGCTGAACAACGTTACCAAGAAAGATAGTTATCCTCTGCCTCGGATTGATGACACATTAGACACATTGGCTGGAAGTAAATTATTTTCTACGTTGGATTTGAAGTCTGGATACTGGCAGGTAGAAATGGACCCGGTAGATAAAGAAAAGACAGCCTTCACCACAGGATCTGGATTATGGCAATTCAACGTTATGCCATTTGGACTTTGTAACGCTCCTGCGACATTTGAGAGGCTTATGGAAAATGTGTTGAGAGGGTTATCTTGGAAAACATGCCTAGTTTATTTAGATGACATAATCGTCTTGGGGGAGACATTTGAAGATCATCTGAAGAATTTAGAAAACGTTTTTAATCGACTTAAAGCTGCCCAATTGATGTTAAACCCCAAGAAGTGCCAGCTATTTCAAGGTAAAGTCAATTATCTGGGTCATATAGTCAGTAAAGAAGGAGTGGCTGTGGATAAGGGAAAAATTGATTCCATTAAGGAATGGCCAAAACCAACTGACAAACACCAAGTGAGAAGTTTTCTGGGACTGTGTACTTACTACCGGAGGTTTATTAAGAAGTTTGCAGATATCGCTAAACCATTAACGCGACTCACAGAGGAAGCAAGAGAATACCGCTGGGATGTAGACTGCCAAAATGCCTTTGAGACCTTAAAAAAGCATTTAATCACAGCACCAATTTTAGGGTATCCACTGCCAGAAGGAGAGTTCATCTTAGATACAGATGCAAGTAATGTGGGAATTGAAGGAGTGCTCTCTCAGATTCAGGGAGGACAGGAAAGAGTCCTTGGATATTTCAGTAAAGTTCTCTCAAAACCTGAGCGGAATTATTGCGTCACGAGAAGAGAACTTCTGGCAGTAGTGAAATCAGTAGAGCACTTCTATCAATATCTCTATGGAAGGAAGTTTTTAATCCGAACCGACCATGCTGCCCTTAAGTGGTTGATGCAGTTTAAGAATCCAGAGGGTCAGATAGCCAGGTGGATCGAACGACTCCAAGAATATGATTTTAAGATTGAGCACCGGGCGGGAGTTA